CAACAATTGTTTATATGTCGGCAGCATTTCCCCACAATAGGATTCCGTATGACATTACACTATGAAAGAAACTGAAGTATACTAATCTGGCAGTATCTTTGCCAGTTAACCTACTATCTTCATTACGGCATCTGCTGCAGAGCTAAGTCTATTCGACAATTTATCAATATGTGGCCCCACTGTAGTTGAGAATCTAATGTTATTCCTAAAAATACTCTGGTATCCAAAAAGACCACGTTCTTATCTTTTATATTTACGTTTATATCTACTTTTTTAACATTAGGTAGTACAAATTTTAGGCATTTTGTTTTTCCTTCATTAAGGAGAAGATTATTTAGATTAAACCAATGTACTACTTTAGCGATAGAATTGTTCACATAGTCATTTAAAGGTAGTCTTCCTTTAATTTTAAGTGTCATCCGCACACAAAACTATTTCGTGACTATCCCTTACGAAATAAGGCAAGTCATTTATGTAAATTAAAAACAAGAAAGGACCAAGTATTAAGCCCTGCGGAACACCCATCTTAACTTTCGATCCAAGGAATCTTTTGCCATTGATATTAACCCTCTGCACTCTGTCAGTCAAGTATGAGACCATAAAATCCAATGAGTTATCTCTAAATCCATACTAATGAAGTTTCCTAATCAATGTTTCATGAAAAACACAAACAAATGCATTAGATAGGTCACAGAAAACACCTAATTCATCATGCGAGTCCTCCCAAGCATTAAAAAATTCTTGATTTAACACACCGGCTTTGGTTGTTGAGCAACCCCTTGTAAAACCAAATTGTTGTCGATTCATAAGGTGCCAATACCTTCTATATTACTATTAGCTGCATAAACATACGCAAATATTTTAACTAATACCAGCTATCTACAGTAATTTTGAAACTAATTTAGATTTCTTTAAATACACGTAAACACCTTATTTCCCATGCCTATCCATTACATAATCAGATATAAAAATAAAAAACCTGTTGTTGAAAAAATATGAAACGTTTTTTGTTTCTTTCAAGTTTAAAAGTAAATTAGTTTTCAAAACTCAATAAACAACTCATATTCAATTTGTACTTTTACGTATTTGTATTGATATCTAAGTTTTGAACTTTTCAAATTTCAGTTTTGTAATATGTTAGTTTAAAGGAACGGAAATGACTGATTTTGGTTCATTCGTTTCCTGCAAAAATTAAGAGTAGCAATACAAACAGTAATTTACTGAATGACAGAATAATCAGACAGGATTGGTTATCATAAGATTAGTAAATTACTTTACCTGTAACACACACATTATTCATTAACCTACATCGTTATATTTAGCTAGCAAACTCATTCGCCAAATTGTATATTTATATTTATCAATAAAAAAAAGGTATATTACTTGATGGAGACAAGGAATCTTTTTATCATCATATTAGTCTGGATCATTCTGTTATTGGCTATGAAATTTATTTGTGTGTTTTGATAGTGATGTTAAATTTTGGATTGATAAATTTTAACTATTATTATTTCAGTCTGGCAACACGTACGATGGCACCTTCCAAGAAGAGTGATGCATGGGGGTTTTATGATAAAACTGAAGAAAAGAATAACCGCAAAATGAAGACTGTCAAAAGTTAATAAAATCTTGTGGTATACAATAAATATAATTGGTCATTTAAAAATAAACATAAGGCTGCTTTTCAAGAGCTTAATAATGACTGTCATAAAAAAAAAATATTCCGAGCAACACAACTAAGAAAAATATACAATTAGCTTTGATCCACTTCCATCAACATCAACATTATTATCTAAAGCAGCATATATTTTCTAAAGCAGCATATATTTTCTAAAGCAGCATAAATAGCCAATCAACTTAAAATTTAAATAAATTATAGTTTTTGCAAAATCTTCCAAAAGAACATTGGCAATAGAATATGATTAACTTAACAAAATTATTGCAGACGATTTTTTTTTGTTCTTATGTAAATTATAATAAAGATTTCTTATTATACACATGGTATTTTCTTTTTGAAATAAAGCAATAATTAAATTAGTAATGGTTGGCCTTATAAGTTGTGTTGAAGTAGTATATTTTATCAGTGTCCTGTGAACTATATTTCTTGATATTTGATGTTATAGCGACAACAGAAATACAAAAACTGTCTCAATATCACTCGATACATCGAAAGACACCGATTTACAGTTCTGTTAATATAAAACAGTTCATCATTGTTAACAACAGAAGCGAAAATGTTAAAAAGAAGCGAATACATATTCGCTCTTAATACATTTCGCTTCTTGGACATCCAAGAGAAGCGAAAATGTTCAAAAGGAGCAGCTGGTTGCAAGAATTGTTTGACCGTATTGAACGTGAAGGGGGTGCGTGCGCAAAACTCGCTACAAACGACTTACATGCTGCTCGCTACACATGTCTTTCGAATCGACTTGAGCCCATGGACTTAGTACTTATAACTCTGAAAAATTGTAATAGGGTATTTGACACTATCGAAAATAAGTTGCATTTTGTGGTCATCCTGATAGATAATAATCTAATAAAGCTTATTTCTCAACATCTGCAGAAAAAACATGTTTAGATTTAGTAAAATAACGTAAAGAAAATGCAATATTTTTAGGAATTTATTCAACGACGAAAACGTCCTATCATTCATCGTCGTCACAACCAATCACGATTCTGTTTACTAGCCTGTGACGTCATCAACTGTCATGTCAAATTAGTGTTAGAAAATACATAAAATATCGATACCTGTAGATATCGAGTACTTTATAGTAATTTACTGATAACAGAATACTTTGCCGCTTCTACTGATAAGAACTGCCAAAAACAAATACAGAAAAAGAGAATCATTTACTAAGCGTTTCAAAAAATCAAAGAAATAGGGGAAACGCCAGCCATTTAAAAAAAGAGCCACTTACATGTTTTTCTCATTTCTTGAACTTTAATATAATAATTCAAAATTACAAAGTCGATTTTGATGATACATACTGTTCTCCAAGTTAAAAACTAATTTTAAAAAAATTATCGGGATCTGATATGTAATTATCAAATGCCATGCATTTAGTGGACAGACATACTACATGCATGTATAAAAAAATAGAACATTCTTTTTCGTACTAATGTCTCATCCATCTGTAGGTCGACAGGCTGTAAAGTGCGAGCCCTGTCAACAAATATAAATGAGTCGTAAAATGTTTATGACAAAGAAAAAAAACAAAAAGAAAACCTTCAAGTGTATCGATATGAAATAAAAAAATTCAATACTTTTAGCGAATCCTTACCTAATTTTATCACCCATTTCTACTCTAAATAGCTACTATACTATTGTGAATCTATTTTCTTTTAGAATCGAAGTTTGTTTTTTATAGAAGTATTAGTACATTGTGGTACTACGCACCACTTGTAGCTCATATTTTTAAAAGCAGAGCAGAGGAAACGTAAAAAATACGCACTACGTCTTCAATTTCTCTTCTAAATTATTATTTCAATTTACTCTAAAGACAGTTGTTACTTATCGATCTTATCTATTTACTGGCCCTGTGACGTCACAATCAGCGCACATAGAGCAGCGTTTTTCGAGCGCTTTTGGCTATTTAAATTTATTATTTATAACAATTATTTTCACCAAAAATAGAAAAGATTCCAATGAAATATTAAGACAGTGTGTTTATAATGTAGCAAACAACGATTTAAAATAGTTTTCAGAAAAGTGTCAAATACCCTATTACAAAAATGATCGTTACCACTATAAATTAAAGTATACTTTTAATTTTTCTTTGTACAGAAGAGAAAAAAACCGACGCTAAGAATACAGAAGCTAATTAGAGCCGAAAAAGAGTCACAACGGAGGCCGTGTGTCTTATTATTTCATTTTGCAATTTAAAAAATCCCGTTCATTAAAAATTTTAATTGAAATAACCTTAGTGGGAACATTTGTATAAATGTAAATGGTAACCATTTTAAAATTTTAAGTTTATTTTGATTCAAACGCAACCTATAATCGTGTGAGCTAATCATGAATCGATCTTTGACCCACACCTTCAATGAAACAGTGATTCAACAAGCAAAATATTTTTTATCTATTTATACACAATTTACTGTGGGTAAACACAATAAATAAAATATATTTAACTTGCTGCATCACTGTTTGATTATCTATAGATTGTGATTAAGTCTACACTCGAATCGCATCACTAATTTGACGTGCAACATTGTGAATACCTGGTCTGTGACCCAAAATTTGGCTGTATGGCTTAGTTCAAAGAGTAATATTATATGGCTTAGTTCAAAGAGCAGTATTATATAGCTAAGTTCCTTCGCCTGTCCCATGAGTACATTTGTATAGGTATGGCAAATGGGAAAAAAATATCGAAATATATTGAATCGATATTTTTCAAATGTATCGATAAATATCGTCAAAAATATATCGATCTATTGATATATCGGTATTTTCTGCGTATTAAGCGATTATCAATGATAATTTCAAAATATTCGAAATTTTGAAGCAACTACAGACCTGGCTGTTTTGATATCGGATTTATTATTTAAAATAGGCACATAAAGCTAAGAAAACAACATTATTACCAGAACCAAAATTAGATTGTTCAAACAAACGTGCATTTCTATGATATTGTCATCAGGAGCACACTCAGTGATACCAACTAAACCAACAAGCAGTGTCACTGTCAAATAAAAAGACAAACAAAAAACACAAACAGGTCATAGACTAAACTCATACAGCCTACTGTCCACCTACTCTTTTCTAAATTTGAGAAATACATGATGTGACGCATGTGCAGACAGCAGAAATTAAAAAAAAATATCGATTTTGATACGAATTTTATATCTGAAAATAAATATCGAAAGCCGATATATCGCGGGAAAAATATATCGCTTATTTATATCGATATTTTTAGAAAAAAATATCGTTAATTTGATATATCGATAGTTCTTGCCCATTCCTACATTTGTATTGGACGAAACGAAACTACTGTGCTATCAGTCTGTGAATGTGCAAGAAGAGATTGGGTTAAGGTTTATGTAGATTTAAAAGTTTCTGGTGTATTTTGAGGATAATGCTAGGATAAATTTTTAGTTTGTTTCTATATTGTTTTGTAACTTTAATGAAAACGAAATAAAATTAATTTATCACCATGAATAAGGATGCCGAAACTATGTCCTCGGAGACAACGCAAGTCAGCTCTTTACCAATGCCTCCAATGCAATACATTAATTTCTACACAGACGAAAATGTTCGAAGAAATAGAGCACCGTTGCCACCGAGACCTATACACGATTCGTATTCTATGTTTGGACATCCGTTTAACGCTGACGATACTATCATTCGATCACTAGAAAGCCAGGTCAGTACATAATGAGATAGGTGAATTTTAAACGGAGGAAAAGACGTCAAAAATTCTCATATTAATTTTTTACAGGGGTTTCGACGACTTTATCCTGTTCATTTTGAAAGAAGAAGGGAATTAAAAAAACTTAATCATTCTTTGTTGGTCAACTTCCTAGACCTTTTGGATTTATTGGTACATTGCCCAGATTCCCCTAAAAGGGCTGAGAAGGTGGAAGATCTAAGTTTACTTTTCATCCATATACATCACCTACTCAATGAGTTCAGACCACATCAGGCTCGTGAAACTTTAAGAGTCATGATGGAGCTTCAGAAACGCCAGCGTGTTGAAACTGCTACAAGGTAGTATAAATACTCTTTTAAATAAGTGTATCAGGATTCAAGTATGAGTTTTATATACTGTGTGTTTTATACTTATTTATGTGTATTAATTATCTTACATATAAGATAAATAAATAAATCCATTCTGTAAGACTTCACATGAAAAATCCAAAATCAATAATAAATGAGAACAGTATATTTAAATGACAATTGCAGGAAATTCATTTTTGTATTATTTTTCAGATTTAAGAAACATCTGGATAAAGTGCAAGACATACTTCAGAATGCACTTCAAAGTTTACCAGATCAAAATGAACTAGATTCAAATTTCAAGGTGCCTATTGAAATGTTGGAGCATATGGACTACAGTATTAATGAAAGCACGAATACAGACCCTTGCTATGAACTTGATAGAATAATGTGTAATGTTGTTGATAATATGAGATAGCTCTTTCGGTGATAAGTAATATATGTTTATTCTTTCATTAAGTTACATCGAATTATTTTATTAGCTTGTCTTTTAAAAAATCTACTTTCTTATTTGGCTTGAAAACTTAATCTTTATTTGAATGAACAGATTTATAAATAAGATTTAAAATATAAATGAATATTAGACAACATCGCATACATTGCTTGGATTCTAAGAAGACTAGCTAAAACCCTTGGAGTATCTGAGACAATAAAAGTAACCCAACACCCAAACTTGAGATAACATGGAAAAGTTTATTTTCTACATTGATCCAACTGGGAATTGAACCCGGGACCTCAGAGATGGCAACACCTTGAAACCGCTGTGCAAACCACTGCTACTTAGGACTTTATATAGAAATTAGGTGCCTGTAAAACTTGAACATCCATTGCTAATATTAATAAGTTATTCATTTTATATAAGTGCACGAAAGTAAGTAATAGCTCTGTTCTAAATTTGGAATGTAATGTCACAGACAACCAATATGGAAACTGCCCCACCTGCCCAAACTAACATCGTGCTGCATTGTTAGATACATAGTATTTTCCTATTAGTATGTTTTTGATAGCTTAGACCACACAAGAGAAAAAAGTCTGTCTCTCTGTAATACTAACTGCTTTATTTTTATATAATTGCTTTATTTTTTAGGTCCTAGCAGTATTTTAGAAAAATTTCATTTAAATCAATATTTTTGAGTACATAGATGTTGATTACTATTCAATTACTCAATTAGTTAATCAATTACCATATTGGTGAAATAAACATAACTAACCTAAAAGACATTTAAATTATAATGTGTAGTTTATTTTCTGACATAATACATTGATGTTGCATAGATGCTTCGATCAACAGTATAGATGTAAACTTTTTGTAACTACACTACGATTTCCCTCTTCACATATGCTCGGACAATATCTATTACGATTGAGTTTTTTGAATTTACCCCATTTTTTTGCTTGTTTTGTATCATGAATTGACAGAAATGTTTTGGACCGTTATGTAGTAAAGATTTTTTTTAAATACCTACATATAAGCTGAATTCTGTATGTATTGTACACAGTTTAATACATAATTAAAGAAACTGTGCAGTACAAATAATAAAATTAAAACATTGACGTTTTTTATTAAAAACACCAAGAGCTAAAATTCATGGTGATGACTTATTACAACAAAAAAAAAATTGTTTTGCGTGTTTGCAATGTTTCTAAATACCGACATTTATATTCATTTCTAGTCAAGAACTATGTGAGAATGGCAGAACGATATATTAGGTCCCTACATATGAAATTGGCGTTTTGTCGTATTGGCCACAATTGGCCACTTAAATCACAAATTTCTCCTCCTTGGTTGGGAATTCCAAATTCAAATTTATACAGCCATTTACACATGTATTTTTGTTTCGTTAGGCGGTATTCATTTGTTTCGTTTTATTCTGTTTGCCCTATTTACGTAACCCAGTATAAAAATGTAAAACTTGAAATATCGTGTTATTTACGAGTAAGAGTTCCATTTTATTTCTGTGGTTCCATCGTGGTACCAGTGCTGCGGAAACAGCTCGAAGGGTTAATGATGTTTATGACGGTTGTGTCACAAAAGAAAAACACAGTGCATTTTTGGTTCCAACGTTTTCGTTCTGGAAATTTCGACCTACAGAACAAGTACTGTGGACAGCTGGAGACCCAAGTTAATAATGAAGGATTGAAGGCTATTGTGGAAGCGGATCCATCGCAAACCGCGTCCGCGTTAGCTGCAGTTAGTAATAAAACTGTTTTAATCCACTTGAAGCAAATTGGAAAGATTAAAAAGCTTGATAGGTGGGTACCTCACGAATTGAGCAACAAACAACCGGCAAACGTGCTTCGACTGCTGCGTTACATTATTCAACTGGCACAATAATAAGGGTTTTTAAATCGAATCATTACCTGTGATGAAAAGTGGATTCTCTACGATAATCGGAAGTGCTCATCGCAATGGTTGGACCCTGGCATGCCAGCTAAATCCTGTCTCAAGCGAAAATTGACCCCAAAAAAGTTACTTGTAAGCGTTTGGTGGACCAGTGCCGGTGTCGTTCATTACAGTTTTCTCTAATCTGGCCAGACAATTACGGCAGACGTCTATTGTCAGCAATTGCAAACCATGCTGGGAAAACTAGCTGTTAAACAACCGAGGCTGGTTAATCGCTCTACGCCATTGCTACTTCACGATAACGCTAGACCACACTCTGCACTACAGACAGCTACCAAATTAGAAGAGCTTCAATTGGAATGTCTTAGATATCCACCGTACTTACCGGACCTTGCTTCAACAGATTACCATTTTTTTTTCAAAATTTGGATAACTTCTTGCAAGGGAAAAATTCAACTCCGATGGGGCAGTGCAAATCGTCTTCAAAGATTTTATTGATTCCCGTCCGAATGGTATTTTTAGTAAGAGGGGGTCAATGAACTACCTATGAGATGGCAAAAGTGCATAGATAACAACGGTTTATACTCTGATTAAATAAATATGTTAAAAAATATTCGATTTTTTGTTCCTCCCATATCAAACATCAATTTCATATGTAAGGACCTAATATAAACGTTAAAAACAATCCATATATTTGACAAAAAACAAATCCAAAATTTCATTTATTTAAGTAATAATGTTGAATAAAGTCATACCTACTTGATAAAGTAATCATACTTGCGTATGATTGCTCAAACGCCACAAATTTCATATTTACCTATTAATTGTCAGCATTAAGACAAAAAAATCCTGATAACATATCAAATATAGCTTTTAGCTATATCGTTCAACCACATTTCCAGTTCATCATCAGATTTTATTACATATTGAATGAATAATTTTTTTATTGTACACCATAGTTATAGAAAATTACAATTTATACATATTAGTATTGTCACTTACACAACTTCCACCATTTTTATCTATACAGACGCTGTGCTAATTTAACGTCTCTTCTGTGAAATTCGTTGGCATTTAGATCAATCGTAATTTCAAGAGTTGATACCTAAATACTTTTTAATGCATAATTGGATATTCATATTGTATTCGGACTGCCCTTTTCTATGATATCATCATCAGCCATACGACGCCTACTGCTGAGCATAGGCCTTCTCCATAAATCAGATTTGTCAGATTGTCGGTACACGTTATAGGGGCCTACACACTGAAGTACTTATTCCTAATACGATCAAGTAGAGAAATATATATCAAGCATTGCCATAATGAAGTCTTACTTGAAAATATTTTAATAATATAGCTTTCATCAAAAGTATTACGTGGTCATCTAATGGAAAATGGTCGAAATGAACTCCATGGTCATTAAGAAAGCTTTTAAACGTGGAGTGATCATTGTTATTAGTATTTCTTTTTTTTTCGATTATTTTAGAACCATTTTGTGGCATATTGCGTCTAAACGTTTGGTCAGCTATTTGACAAGGCTTATGATATCTGTAGAAGGATACTGCAGATCACTCTTATCCTTTTGAAATATTAAAGCAAAGCTTTCTATGTCTACGTTTGATATTAAACCTTAATGCCACAGAACAATAATACTCCACGACCTTAATTCATAGTAAAGGGTAGTTGTGATTGTTTCTTATTCTTTTTCGCAATCTCAATGACAATTTCAATCCAATCCAATGACGATATCAATTTTCATGAAATCTCGTGTAAGCTCATAATCTTGAAATATAGACTTAATTTTCAATAACCACACAATATTAAGCCAATTGGCACTAGGTATCAAATCAAGAGTACGAAACGTCACAATAGCAATGTTATCGGTCGAGATTGCGTGCAAGAGTAAGGATGCAGGACGGAACTCGCAGCGGGTTTTAAGAGTTAGGCCGGCCTCGCTTAAGCCCACAACTTAAGACTGTCCAGGGTCCACTTCACGCCGAGTGTGGTGTGGAAGCCCTGGTTTAAGGCTCGTGGGGCATTTCCCCTGCGTTATCAAAAAAAAGGTAGAAGTCACGAAATCGGATAAACTAAAAGGTCATCGTCCACTTTGTATGAACTTTTGGCTTAATCATGGTCAGTTAAATTCGCACTTGTAATTCATTGATCACATGTTTGTGTATATATCAGAATGAATGACGTCATGAATATGGGGGATAGCGTTTTTGCAGGTATAACGTTTAAATTTTAAGGCAAGAAAACTTATTTCCCGAAACTTTTTTTGCGATTTCTTTACAGCATAAGCACTTTTTCAAAAAGAGTAGAATACCCTGTTGTTATCTGAGAAAGTGTTGAAATAAAAGAAAAATATTTTTCTTAAGATTTATTATTCAAGTTTATATCTTAAACTTTTTAGACATATAATCCAGCTGAAAAGACGGTATAAAATTAAAGAAGGAGAAATTGACTGAAACAAAAAATATTTTGCCACAACTTTCATACTTGCCAAGAATCATGACGATTTCTCGCTGAACTCGACTAAATAAAATGTCAGTGACTGGTATTTACATCTTACGTACTATAGACTTACCAGTTTGTTTTATGGTTACTTCTAAACTGCAAACTCCTTACTTGTATGTACTTACAAGCTAATACTTACAGAAGATGCAATCTTTTTAATATCATCACTGCTTTAGTACTTGAAATGTGTCCTTTATTGGATTGATATTTACGACCAGATACCTAAAAGTGCTAAACTACTGTTGCTCTCCGATGTCCACGAGACTGCTACACTACTGTCTGCATGATCACCATCAGCTAACTGTGACGACACCGCAACACCTGTAGGGACGTCTCAAAACCCAGTACGATATTCTCTATATCCCTTATAATTAGTGCAATTGAATAATTCAGTTCCATTAGAAATCAAAATCACTATCCTTTCAACTGCTATGATAGAGCGATTTTAAGATAACCTTAAAATCAATACTTAATAATGCAATAAACGTCCAACTGTATAAATAATAACGATTCATGCCCAAAATGTCATACTAGTTTGAATATAGTTTCAATAGTATAGGGCACCATTTTAAAATGTTTTTTGTTTTTTTATTTTCTGTCCTTTTGTTCAGTTTTAATAATTACTACGACGTCTGTATGGTGCGCCGTTGTTACGGAAGTCGCGCCTACCATATCCCCCTCGACCCCTGCCAGGATTGGGGCCTGAGAATCTGCCAGTATTATTCAGTCTTGAACTATATTTGCCAGATGGTGGTGTGTACATTTTCAAGTTTCTATCACCACTGCGGGCTCGTTTTTCAGGAGCTGATTTTTCTTCACCATTGTCAAATGTGATTGGCTGGTGCCGTTTTTGTCCTGAGATTGGTTTGTCTTTGTTTCCTGTGTTCTCTAGTTTTTCCTAAACAAAACATAATTATTATTAAAAAACCCATGAAAAAAACTTAACAATTAAATGCAACTATTGTGTTGGGTCGACAAGGAACTAACCTCTTTCTCAGATTTTTTGGGGGACTCAAATGAAAGTTGTACTTTACTCTTAAAACTCGGTGGAGTACGGAATATATCCCTGATAAGAGTGTTGATATTTGATGTTGTCTTCAGTGCTGCAATTTTCAATTTGTTTTCTTCCGAGTCTTCTTGCCCTTTCTTACCCTATAATTAAAGTTGAGCATAATTTATATTCATAAGAATATATAGAAATAAAGAGGTGTAAGACGTAAGAAAGTATTTATTCATACCTGTGTGACTTCCTTTAATTTTTTTATATATCCTTGTGTTAGTCTAGCAGTATATTGCAAACGTAAACGCAGTGCTTTTAGTCGAGTAGTATCAGCGCCAAGTGTATCTGGTGATTTGCGACACAATGAATGTAGTGCAAATAATGCACATTCCACATGAGAAAACTGTAAAGATGGCATAGCTGAGGTTTCCTCTTGTTTAGTTTCCGTTTCTTGTTTGTCTTTATCTGCACTATTTTCTTCAGTGGCAACTGGAGCCTCTGGCAAGTATTTCTACAAGAAAAGTAATCATCCGTTAATAAATAGTGAATATTAATGTAGACAAATAACATCAAGTGAACATGATGGATGACTTACCATAAGTATATCATAAACAGTGTTTATTTTTTCTTGCATGTTTTCAACATCTCCACAGTGCTCTGTAATTTCTGCTAAGATTTTCAACAATTCTAATTTTGAATCAGCACCGCCTTCTGCTGTAGTTATGTCATCCCAACGGACTAGCACATGATCACAGAAGAATGTAACAAACTGCGATGAATCTACTTGAGACTGTAACAAAAATATATTATTTAATTATAAAATACACCATTTATGGGAATTATAGGGATCACAGTGATCTGAAATGATATTTTTTGGATCTTTTTTTCTGTTTTGGATTGGTTTTATTTTGTTAAATTTGACGTATGATATAGTTTGCTGTATACAAAAAAAAAAATAAAAAAATATTTTGATGACATTGTTTGAACGTTTCTTGAATGTTCTATTGAAACTGTGCTCTGTATTATTATATATCTCTGATAACTTTTTGAATTCACAATGCTGTATTAATATTTCTCCTTATGATAAATTTATAAAAATTATTTATTCTTAAAAAAGGAATTTATGGACATTGAAATATAATGAACTACAAAAACAAATTATAAATACGAATTGTTTCTTTTTGAAAGAGAAAATAATTTATGATATAGGAGGGATCAATTCTCTAGACCAATAAAAGCTGAGCTCACACACACAGGGAGTGTCGTAGGTAGAGTAAATATGAATATCATAAGCACAATGTGTTTAAAGGCACAATTTATATTGTGATTAATACAAGAGTAAATTTTGAATACAAATTTTTCCTGTACATCAAAAATCATGCCATAATCATGATAAATTTTAATCTCTGCTAATTTATAAAGAAAGTTTTCTGTAGGGGTAAATCTTAGGAATACTGATCCAGTGAACTCTTTCACCTATAGGAAGCTATATTATATGAGTATGACATAGGCTACAATTTACATGAGCCTACACTGGATATATATATGTATGAAAGAACTCTGTTTGAGAGTTTATTATTCAAAATCAATAATATAAATTCAATTCAAAATAATAGATATGGAATTGCTTTTTATACTCACAGAAAATAATGGTAAAGCATGTTGAGAGCACTGTATAATTCTATCAACATATTCTGGATCTTCTGGATGCCAATCTTCTGGAGAGAATGCTAGTGCTGCAACAAGTTGCACTAATTCCTTTTTTCCTGCAGGAGTTTTACCAAGTCTGGACCAGGTAAGTAATTCCATAATGTGCTCAAATTCTTCAGCAACAACATCCTGTAATACAAGTATAATTACTTGCGGTCACAAGAAATTTCAAAATACTAAAATACTATCATGTCAATATATTTGTCTGTTACCTCTAAAATTTTTTTACATTCAGCAATAATTAGATCTTCTGCTTCCTTGTTTATGATTTCTCGTCCAAGTTGTTTAACTTTTGTTGCCAAGAATTTAATACAGCGCTCCCTTACAATATCATTTGTGACCTCACCATCTGTGCTCTGGTGTATTTGAGAAAATATGCCTGTGAGTGCTCCTTTTGGATCACCTTTTAATATGGTCATCAACGAGTTAGTGACTACATTAATTTCAGTAGTATCATCAGATTGCAAAAGCTGAGATAAGATATCAGCTATTCTTTGAGTGTGTTCTTTATTTTCCTTACAAAGCACTGGCAAATCTTTGATTGCTTGTTTACGAATCTGTGATAAAACAATATTAAAGACATAGAATCTTTGACTATTGGTGATCAAAACAGTTAAACTTATTATATTCTAATTATACATATAGAAATGTTTGACTATTGGTGATCAAAACAGTTAAACTTATTATATTCTAATTATACATATAGAAATGTTTATTAAGCCTGGAACCATCACATGGTTTTTGAAAGCTCAGTTTGACTTTAGAAAAAGGCAAGGCCTACATTATTATATATACAATCTCAACTTATACCAAAATAGTATACGTTGACTGACTTCATAGAAAAAAGAAACTAGAATACTTCAATAAGTGAAAGTATATGTATTTTGTTGATATTTATTATTCAATTTTAAGTAGGTAATTGTATATTACCTGAAAACTTTTAAAATAACGAAACTATTATTTCTACACCAACAAAACACTAATTTTTAGGATGTTTGATGATGCCATATCATAGCTTGTATTTTACAAAGGTGTGTCAAGTGTTTAATATTTACCTAAATTTTAGTGATATATCATTAATTGTGTTTGTCAGTGATTGACAAATCTAATTAACCATTTAAAAGCAATTAATTCTTTACAAATAATTCCATAATATTGCCAAATAGTTATGGGAAATTTAAAATATTCAATAAAATTTGGTGATTCCATATTGTTCCATAATTATAGTTGTTGTAAAAAGTGATTATTTTTAAACAAGCGATGATATGTCTTGCACCTTATTTCATGAATACTCGTAGAAAATACCACGCCTAAAAATTATAGTGACATCATAACTTCACAAAGATCCAATTATGTTATACTAACATACCACCAAAATACCATGCTAACAAATTACTTACAGCAACATCATCGTCTTCACAAAGATCGAATTGTGCTTCAATAGCTTGTTCTGATAGGTTAGGGAAATTATGAAAGAATTTTGCAATGAATTGTGACGCTAAGCGCTTTTCCTTGTCTGATCCCTTAACAGCTGCTAATATTTCCAAATATTCTTTTTCATGCTACAAAAGGAATACACGATTGATTTATTAATGAGAAAACAACAATTTATCATTTTTGTATTTCAGACAAAATAGGTTATGTTTGTACCTACCTTTGAAATATCATCCTTGGCGTCGGCCAATATGCCGTAGTTTTCATACAACTTTTCGATATTATCAGTAGACATTGCGGATTGAGTTATTTTCCTCACAATCACAAACAACAAAATAAGTAAGACACGAGCCCAAACTGAGAGAAAAACCAGAACAGAATAAAAAAATACCACTTTAGTTCAAGCGCACAGAACAGAATCGTTAAGCGTTCAAGTGTATGACACAGACAGAGTACATTATTATAGGTGCACAGACTTAGTAGGTATTTATAGGTGTATGTCAAAGAGTACAGTAATAATGTGTATGTCCATTGTCCTGTCCACAGACCAAGTATGTATTGTATGTTCAAAGAGAAAGGAATGTATTTCCTTCTTTGTTCTTGGTCTGTGGTTTAAGCAAAACGTAGTGCAGGGTTGCCATCAGGGTGACCGTTTCAAGAATGTTATAAATATAGAAATCTGCCAAACCCATCTCCAAAAAGTGCTAAAAATATGCTGTCATATTTTTGCGTACTAAGAGTAGGTACATTGCGACAGAAACAGTAGAAAATAAACGATGTCATTTAATAGACTGCACATGCGACTGGGACCAACGGCTTAACGTGCCTTGCGAAGCATGGAGTAGCTCGTGATAAAAATGTTTTGGTCACTCATCCCGTGAATGAGCTTTGCCAAAGTTGTTATACACCGTTCGCGGGGTGTTATTTTTCTTAAGTATCTGCCATATGTAAACTTTTATGTTTACAAATTACCAGAGCTATAGCTGTGCAAGGACCGAGACAAAGAAATAAAAATAATGAGTAAGTATTAAAAAAAATAAATAGTTCCTGATATCAAACTAGATGTCGCTACGGTACTTTCGTGAATTCTACATGACAACCTTTCCGGTTTTCTTTCATGTATAAAAGTAAATTAGTTTTCAAAACTCAATAATCAACTCATATTCTATCTGTACTTTTTCGTATTTGTATTGATATCTAAGTTTCGAACTTTGCAAATTTCAGTTTTTTAACTCTATGTTAGTTAAAGATAAAAGGAACGGAATTGACTATCTTCATGCCATTCATTTCCTGCAAAAATCAACTTTTGCTAGAGCCGCCATCTAGCGGAGGTGCTTTTTTAGCGGTTTCTTATTTTTTAAATACTTCCTCAATAACGAACATTCTGTATTTTGTTTTTACTTTGTATGAGTGAGACAAACAATGAACGAAATGTTTGAAAATCAATAATGTCAAAATGTTACTGTTGAGGATCGTCAGCTGAACCGACCTATTTTTATACGTTGTCTTTGTTTTTATAATTTTTTAATATATATTTGATTTTTATTTAAGTTTTGTTTGGTATTTGACATATGGTCATTATTGATTGTCACGTGCTTTGACGAGTACATTTGTTTTGTGGACAATATAGTTTTGAGAAGATAAATTGTTTATTTTTGCATTTGTGCCCACACCATTCCTCGTCACCCTCTTCGTCGATAACAGTTACCTTACTATTTACAATTTAATTTGTCGTTGTAATAAATCTGTCTAACATCAATACATAGTATAAAACGAAGTCGCTTTCCTCTGTCTGTCCCTATGTATGCTTAGATCTTTAAAACTACGTCTCGGATTTTGATGCGGTTTATTTTTAATAGATAGAGTGATCCAAAAGGTAGGTTTTAATATATATACATTACAAGACCACGCGAACCACCGGTGGAAAGCTAGTTATTTATAAAGATTTCTTTAATAGTGATGGAAATTGGTATTGGTATGGAAACTGGAAAATATTTTCATATTTTCTTTTCATCTATTTATATTATTATTTGTTTGCTTTATTTAATTATTTGCTATTTATAGTATTTGCTGAAACATATTAGACATTAGTCAGTGTACATCGCGGGCTTCAAGCCAATGAGACGTATACGCAAAAATGAGTTATATTTTTTAACGCCAATCTTTTCTAATCTTATCAAATGACAAACTGTCGGTCACAAGTTGAAAACTCTACTTGTATATTTTACTATTATAATTTAGGCTTGCAGCCTACTATGTCGCGAATGTTTTGCTATTCATAAAATTAATAATTGTGTTTATTATTGTTATCCTTGACAGTTAACCAGCTTCCTAAGCTTTCTACAGTCGCCCTGTAGAAGGACGGTGTGATGATTACTCAGCTGATCGACATTTAGCCGTGCAAATTAATGGCGTTATTCTTCCTATATTATAAGGCTAGCCACCTTTTTGGACGTCGGTATGTTTTATCCAGTTGGCTACGAAATATCCTACTAACATTATAAAGGCGAAAGTTTGTAGGTTTGGACATTAAAAGGTTTCCTAGGGACAGAAGTACAACCAAATGCGCTTATTTTGTGAACGCTTCCTAAACGATAAGAGATATACGAATGCTTTCTAAAGAAAAGTTGGAGAGCTTCAGATTATCTATAAAAAAACTCCGCGATGGCATATATCAATGAGCTAATATTTAACCACAAAAATTAAAAATAAAACTTCGAATAAGCGGATTTAAATATTTTGTCCGTCCTTAGATATTTGTTTGAGTAGGTATGAGATATGAAATCCTTATCTATTACACCAAATCAATTACCTAATTCATGTTGTTTGGTATATTTTTGAACTGCCTATACCTACTCCATTCATTATAGCATTAGACAGAATGAAAATAAGGTTCTTTTTATGGTATACTTTGTGACAAAATGTCAACAATCATGTTACTCTTAAGACTAATGGCTAATTTGCTACATATCCACTTAAATACCAGCTGCTATACTTAACCGTAGTCTTTTAAGCTATACATTAAACAAATTTATGAGTATATGACTGACTTAAAACATTTAATAATTATTACAATAAAAAGTGTTCATCTTAAAGAACCTAAAGAAGCAGGGTTAGATAGTTTCGGCATGATTCTCATGTCACTATAACTCTACCAAATTTAAAACGTTGCCTAATCCCTTCAGACGTTTCGGCAGTACAGCTTTTTAATTTTGTCAGATTATGATTTAATTATAATAGTCAAAATATGTAATCTGGGATTGTCATTCATTGTGAATGCTACTGCCTTTCTCGTTGTTTTCTCATTTTCGGTGATTGAATAATTACTGTTTTATTGTTGTTTTCTTATAGTTTTGTTTTAGTTGTTATCTTTATGTTGTTAAGTTTTGCTAAATTGCGATTCCGGTGCAGGCCCGAATGGCCTACATAAATTACACTCTAAGCCCCCATGCCTACCCTCAACCATTGATATTTCAGGAAGTTTTTCCAATGTCTTCATCAATAGTCTAACTAATTACACTTACAATTAGAATTTATCAAAACAACAGAAAGATAGTTTCAGTTTTAGTTCCATTTTGGCTTGGGAGTAAAAGATGAATTTATAAAATGCTGGCCTCATCTCAACCCCGAGGTACTTATCGTAAAAAATGGCAAATTGCCCAGATCTTTCAGACTACCTAATGTTCAAAGTTTTTAACAAAACTAATATATATTTTTCAAAATATCTTGAAAATAAAATGTTCTGAACTGCTGCTTCTATGACCCTCTTTTTTCTAATGTTATAATGAATGGAGCATAGTAGTTTTTCACACAAACGAAATTAAGCAACATACCTACTTGATTTCGTTTTATAAATTTTACACTAATATGGCACAAAAAAAATACGCTTGTTTTAATTCAAATGTAAGTAATATATATTTATTTGTCTTAGATTTATATTTAGTTTATGCTGAAAAACTAAACTGTTTATTATAAAGTCATCCCCCAAAACACGATGTGTGTTCAGAAGATAAGAAACTACTCACAGTTTATTGTACCTATCTACAACGCTTGTTTTATAACCTGTTTTATTTAATTAAGTTATCAACTTAATTAAATAAAAAGTCAATACCTATTACGTGAAAATGAAAAGTTAGTAAACTCATAACGGAATTCATAATATTTACCCATAAACATTAATATGGAAAAATTTTATTAACACAATACACCGTGAGTGAAAAGTTGTGTGATAATAATTAAACAATGATACAATCTTCCTCACAGATAATAAACACGGGTCATCCATTTGACAACAAAAACATTATGGCGGTGACACTCTAGAGAAATCAAAATGTGGTGCTTTAAAATGATATGGAAACAATAAACATAAAAGCTGCGTCGTGCAAGGCGCATGTGATTGTTGTGAATTAATTAAAGTGGTTTTCATTAGGACCATAAATGCCGGCGACGCGCGGCCGCCATGTTGGCACGGTGGTGCGGCGCGGTGCCGCCGGGGCGGGGCTTCGATCGCAGATAACAAAGCTCCGGCCGCCTATAGGAACGATGCCTGGTGCCAATACGTGTTACGTGCATTTTTCGACTTTTAAGGATGCTATATCGAATATTTTCATCGACGAAATTTTACATTTTTATTTTAAACGTTTCAAAAGCTTTAAAATTACAGACTGTATTCAGCATGCGGTATGGTTTTCGGTATAAATATATAAATAATGTAATAGACAGTTGTAACCAATTGATGTTACACAAAAACATTCGTGAATGCAATATTAAGAACATAAAATCTATATATTTTAGTTCTTTCACTGACGAGTACGCCCCAGTCAACGTTGATAGCATTGTTTTGTAACGTGACGCGTTATAGCTTTTTGTCCCGTAATAATTTATGTTTTTATTGACAGCTATATTGATCAGACGTTTATAAACTGCCTTTTTTAGGAACCAAAATCGAAAAGAGAATAATATACATTGAAGATGCCTGCTTGTCTTAATACCGGTCTTTGTGCTCCATACTATGTTACCATCAAGATTCGCTGTAAGCTTTGTAACCCCTTTTTTAGTCATACATAACACACTATAACAATCAATTTATTTAGATTTAAAAATATTTAGATATTCAAGGGCAGCTAACAAGCCATTACACTGATAAATAGTAATTGTTACAAATTACAAAATCGCATGCAAATTAGTGTTGCCTCAATTACTAGCTACTGCTTTATAGTAGTTAAGTACACAGGCACGAGGAAATATGTGAAGTTTAATGAGATTTCAATAATTAATTATCCTTTATAGCAACAATCATCAATCAAAATATTAATAAATTCCAAGGATTTCTATTTTTAACCGACTTCAAAAAAAGGAGGAGGTCCTCAATAAGACTGTCTGTGTTTCTATTTGTTACCTCATAATTTTTTACTGGGTAGACCGATTTTGATTTTATTTGAAA